AACATATTTATTTTAAGAATATATAAAACAGCTACTATCAGGAGATACCTCAACATATTTATTTTAAGAATATATAAAACAGCTACTATCAGGAGATACCTCAACATATTTATTTTAAGAATATATAAAACACAATCACTGTCAGGATATACCATTTTAAAATAATACTGAATATGTAGGAAACTGAGTGTCAAGTGATACTATGTCATAATTATACCAAAAAGCTTGGAAACAGTTATCATCAGGAGATAACATCACATAAAGTTTTCAGAAAGACAAGAAAAGTTTACTGTCATGAAATATCATTTCATTATTTTGCCAGAAGGCTAACAACAATCATTACCAAAATATATCATAACACAATTGTGCCAGAAAGCTAACAAACAATCATTACCAGATCATATCATAACACAATTGTGCCAGAAAGCTAACAAACAATCATTACCAGATCATATCATAACACAATTGTGCCAGAAAGCTAATAAACAATCACTGTCAGACTACATTTTGGTATAATTGTATCAGAGAGCGAGGAAACAATCACTATCAGTCTACATCACAATACAATTGTACCAGAATTCGAAGAAACAGTCACTGTCAGACTACATTTTGGTATAATTGTATCAGAGAGCGAGGAAACAATCACTATCAGTCTACATCACAATACAATTGTACCAGAATTCGAAGAAACAGTCACTGTTAGATTATATCATGATATATGTTTACTAGAAACAATCTATGTTAGATTCCATCATGATATATTTTTACCAGAAACAATCAATGTCAGGCGATATCATAGTATAACGTCTCCAGAAGGTTGACAGAAAGTATTTTGATGCTTTCACCATCACACAATTTTATCAGGAACTTATGAAAACAATCACTGTCAGGTACAAGGTTATCACAGTTATGCGAAACTTAATATAATTCATAAAATCATTGTTAAAAATATCATAATATAATTACAACAAAATGCTGATTAAACATCACTGTCATATAATAATGTTGCATAATTATGCTTGAAAGCTAAAAAAATAAAACTACCTAAAACATTGGTACCACCAAATTTAACAGTGCTTCTTTTTATTATTTTTACACATTTATTATTTCAAAACCAAATGAAATCTCCTGCATGACTTATTACAAGGACGAATATAATTTGCTATAGCTTCCAGCTATGGTCCAACATACAAAGAAAACACCCTGTTCCCTCAAGAACGTTATACCAGTAATGTAGGCCATCCTGTACCATCAAGGAAGTTATGTAGGGACTTTCACTTATCTAACTTACCCAAGATCCATCTTGTTTTGTTTTTTTTATAGTTTCTTGGCGTGTTCGAACATCAACGAAACAAACAATTTCATCATAAAGCAATAATTCTAGATAGATATACACATGATACCACAAAGAACATGGGTCCCTTGTCACAGGATATGGACATCAGATGGTGCTATCTGCTCAATGTGGCTTGCATTCTTGGGATGACATTAAAAATAGCTGAACGTAGATATTCAGCAAACAATATGTCTACGTTCTGTGGGATCGCTGACTTAATGTTTGACTGCAGGGACATCTAAAATCAATTGCGTATCGTGGAGCATCGGCTACAATGATAGCATTAGCAGATTTCATTACGAGGACTCCTATCGCGCTGGCAGGGAAGGATATGTACTTTGATTGGTCTCCGGAAAATCATTTAATTATCGTCCCACCCTCCACTGAGCTTGGTCCGAACTACATTTCAGTGAGAATAGAGAGTGAGGGGAAAAGTTGCTTTAACATTTTTACAGTTTTGTTATAAAAGGTAGCTAATATTTAATTTCCCGAATTTCAACTATTGGTTTAAATTAATATATATATATCATTTTTGGCATTTGGGATACACTCATTAGTAATAGATCAAGTGACCATCACGGCCAGTCCACTTCTGCGTACAAGTTTGAAAGATGACGAAAATTAACCATTTTATTACTCATTGAAACATTTACTGTCTGTCTAAAATTTTAACTTTTCTATATAAATAGAAAGTAAAATCCGCTGTGGTTATTGAACAAAAAGCAATCAAAAATTGACAGGCAGAGTTAGCTATATATAGGTGACGTTTCGGGAAAACTTATTGGTTTGTACGAGAAAAATCTGCAGCTCGAAGCGTCACCTATGAAATAAAATTAGTACTTGTAATACCTGTACATGTTTTTTGTATTTGTGACTTCTGCGATTCACTTATGTTTCTTATTGTTAGTTGAGACTTGACTTTTGCGAGTGATGTAGCTTGAAACATCTCCGTTTGTTTCTCCAAGTGTACACTTTGCAGGAAACACACACACATATATATATTCATAGCTGGATGATCCATTTGGCCCGGGCCCAGGGGGCGGAGAAAGAAAAATCATAGTGTGTTCTTTGTTCAGATTCTTACATGAGTGGCTTTATTTTACACCTTTAACTAAAAATATTTTAAGTCGAGTTTTACGCTTTGAGGTTGGAAACAATTAATCTGTAAGCATTAAAAGGGGAATTATATTTATAGTTTTATACTTAATTTATGTTCAGAATCTCAGACTTGAGGCGTAGTTAAGGAGGGGGGATCATTTTGGGCCCTGATAAAAGTTATTTATGGGCAGCTAATAAATCCTTGGGTGACCTGAAAGCAATAGAATCTTTAGCATGGGAAGTAAGACAATAGAAGTAGTCCTAAAAACCACTTAACTATCTTGTTTTGCTATCCAGTATTTTAAATTATCAGATACAAAGACAGAGTAATATACAAAATGGTATAATAGATGGTATTTTTCTTACTTCAATGTCTACAAGTTTCAAGAACTATGAATGAATACAAATAAATGTCTAAACAATTTATTTTATTGAATAAAACTTATTCGTAGTTACATTACACTCAAAATTACTCTAGCAATAGTTACATTACTCTCAAAACTACACTAGCAATATATCAATCTTCCTTCATCCCAAATACTTTTCCCACGAGTTTTATATATATGTACATATATACATTAAAGAAAGGGATTGGCAATGTACATTCATTGTGCCGTTAATATTAACATTTAACTTTAATATTAACATTTATGCCAAGACTGACTAATAAAATTTGCAAGAAAGTTAAAAATAGCGTAATATTTGTGATAAGTACTTTCAAAAACACAGAAGACATGCGGAAAGATAGACATCCAGTGTTTGAATTGCCAACGGTCAAAACTGGATGATCCAGTTCATTTAGAGCAGATTGCAAGCATACGAGGACGTACGTGTTTGGTTTATCAGTAATAATGAAGATCATGACAGGATCATACTCCTGACAGACTCCCTAATCCTCATCACAAGATGTCCAAAGTAAATGGGTAAAAACCTATGATAGACTTGAAGGCTTATCTGATAACCATCAATATTCTAGTCACAGAGGAATATAATTCAATGTAAAGTGCACTACGTAGCTGATAAGGCTTAGCCCTTGGGTAACCTGGTGAAATTTAAACGTAAAGTCGTAAAAATAGTACGTAGACTTAGTGAATAGAAAAGAAATGGAACAGAGGTCACGCTGGTCAATTGGAAGACTGGAGGAAAGTGGGTGTAAGTGTGGATGTCGAAAGGATAGATGCTACTTAATTATTGTTGTTGTTTTAGCTGTTATATATAAAGCTCTGAATTTAGTGTTTAACCGTCACAAAATTGTTAGATTTAGACTGTTACTATTTTGTTATAAAGGTATCAAGGTAGTTTTCATAAAATTATTATTCATAGATTTCACCTGTCATATAAAAATGTCTTAGTTTACACATTATTATTCAATATACAAAGTATCTGTATACAGTTTCTGTAATATTTAAAGGTCATGGTTTACTACTCAGCTGATCGTTTAATGATATATTTAGTGTATAATTGTTACATATATCGACATTTTTACTTTAACTTTTGGTCATCACAATTCTGTAAAATCTAGCTCACAATCATTGGCATAAAATTGTAAACTTAATTCATGCAATAGTGCTAGATCTTGTCTTTAAGTTGTATATATATATCTTTTACTTCATACAATCTTATTAGTTCTGTAAAGTATTATATGTGTAAAATTCATGTAATCTGATGAGATCTGGCATCCTTGTGTTATATGTAAATATAATAACTTTCATTCAGTTTACACAATCTTATTAATTCTGGCGTGTAAGTGTCTTATGTAAGAGTTGTAACTCACCTTTCAATTGTTACCAACTTATTAGATCTGGCGAGTAATTGCCGTATGTAAAGGCTGTAATTGTAACTGAAACTGGCTAGTCAAAATTAAAAACACACGGAGAAAAAAATCGTATTTTTTTATTATGTTATTCTTATCTCGTTATATGTTCTGAAAATACTTCATTTTCTCTTAAACATTATTTGCCTCTCGATCTAGTGTTACCGTTCTATAAATGTTAAGCACATTATGACATTATTCTTTCTTGTCTGTTCTCTTGCTTACTTTGACACGAAGTCACAAGTAAAGGCGGAAGTTTGCACTCGAAGTAGTGTCTTGAGGTTTCGGAATGACATCATGGATAAACCTTTAGTAGACACACGCTTGACATAGAACTTACCTGTTATATGTTACAATATTCGACGTTATTAGCTTTTGGTCCCAGCTGAAGTTTCATTAGGTTAAAGGTCGGCAATACAAGAAGTACGTGAAACAGCTGATGGTAAGGGTACAATGACGGTGCCATCAAATCTCGTGAGCACGGTTGGCCTAGATCAAGGATAATGTAAGGCTCACATAATAATTTTATTTTCGAGCTTAGCAACCCATTTTCTAGTTTTTCTCTAGCACAATACGTCTTGACGTCATCTCAGACTGAGTTCAGTATAAATAATACACGCGATGAAGAACTTTAACCAGTTTGCTCAGAGCAGAAGCAGTTTATAATCGTTCTGATTTTAACCCCACGGCTTGAGATACGTAAGTAGATATTTGGTGTATCTATTGGTAAAATATTAGTTAGCGTTATCCCACAGTTTTTAGTTTTAACCCCAAGACTTGAGATATGTAAGTAGATATTTGGTGTATCTATTGGTACAATATTAGTTAGCGTTATCCCACAGTTTTAAGTTTTAACCCCAAGACTTGAGATACGTAAGTAGATATTTGGTGTATCTATTGGCAAAATATTAGTTAGCGTTATCCCACAGTTTTTGGTTTTAACCCCACGACTTGAGATACGTAATGTATATATTTGATCCTAATGTATATATTTGTATAATAAAAATCGCAGAGTATCCTTAGTTTGGTATTAACATTGTGTTAACATATATAAAGTTTGATCAATACGCTAACTTTCCACACTGTTTAATACACATGTGTGGTCAAATGTGACTTATTAAGTCAAAACATCGAAGGATCTCCAATTCCCGATTTTAATTATACACTTTACTTTCCTATAGTGTTCTTAGTTGTACTGACCAAATAACAGCGATACTTAAAATAGGTTAATATTTCAGCTGAGGTTTACACTAATGACTAAAATGTGACGTTGATTATTGAAAGAGGATATGACAGCTAAGAAAACAACTTATCCATGCTATATCATAACTTCAGAAGTTTGTTTGTTTCAGAAGTCTTGTGCATAGCTACATACGCATAGATGTCCCTAATTTTGAACTAGTGGCACGGTAGCTAGTGAAGAGCATTCACTGTCAACTCTTAAACCACTCTTGGTTGGCAGAGTAGTGGGAGTTGACCGTAACTCTTTTAACATACCATGACCCCAAACTCCGAGGTTTGTTTCACGGGAACGGGCTACGAACCATGAAACCTAATTCACAGTAAGATTATGCTAACCACTAGTCCACGCTAGTGTCTTAGAAGTTAGTAAAAATAGGATAATAACAATGTTGCTTTTTCCGGTACTTGTATTGTCCAAAGATATATATATATATATATAAACAGCATTTTTCTCAAGTAGATTAGTGTATCAAACTTTATCGATAAAAAATGAATAACTTGAAGATTTTGACTGACCCACTGGCTCGTGATTTTTAAAACCATCCTTGTAAAAAGATAGAGCACCCTATCTGAAACTCTCCCACGCTGAGTTAAACAACGACTTCACCTTTTCCTACCATAACGTTTTTTTCTTTAATTTATTTCGTATTAAGTTTTCTTTACAAATCGGATTTTACAAATTGTGAATTGTTAGAAGTAATAATATTTTTAAACGTAAGATGTAAACTCGTCTATAGTGTGGTAGTGTGATATGTGTCCAAAACAACTTGCTGCAGGACACACTGCGTGTTATTAACGGGAGTGATAGTTTATCGATATCCCACCTTCTGTATCTCGAACTATGGTAATCCAAACTATCACATATTTTTAGTGGATGTGTTCTACTGGACTCTTATTTCACATACCAAATTTCACGGCAGTCCATTAAGAAATACCTGAGATATAACATCTCCAATTTTGATTGAGTTTCTTCCTGTTTTTTTTTTTTCTTCACCAAAAGTACAGAAACTTTATTTGATAGAAAAATAAATACTTACTTTTTTGGATTTTTTCCACATTTGATACACTGATAGAACTTTAGAGCCTACAATTAGGCGTCTCATTTGGTGTAAATATTAGACACGTGTGCAAAATTATTTAATAAAAACCGCTTAAATTTTACGAACATTTTTGCGCACGCCTACACAAAAAGTCATGTGAGTTATCGTTTTAGCATTTTTACTACAGCTGCATATAAGAGTAATTCCTCTCAATGGCACAGCGGTATGTCTGCGAACTTAGAACGCTAGAATTCGTGTTTCGATACCTGTGGTGGCCAGAGCACAGATAGCCCATTGTGTAGCTTTGTGCTTAATTACTAACAAACATATCTAAGAGTAAAAATGGACCTTTTAGATTTTTTGTCATTCGGATTAAAAACGGCTGATTTAGAGCAGGAAAACTATAAGGTGAAAGGATTGTTTGTTTATAATTAAGCACAAAGTTACACAATGGGTTATCTGTGCTCTGCTCACAACGGGTATCGAAACCCAATTTCTAGCGTTGTAAGTCGCAGACATACAGCTGTGCTACTGGGGGGCGAGGTGAAGGGAAGTGCAGATACATAAGTATTGGTTAGGCCAAGCAAACTAAATTAGCAGTTTCTAGCTCAAGTTTTCAAAAGAATCATACGGGTGGGGCAGGTATTATTGATTATTTACTACCAACTTTTCAGCACAAATTTACTAAATTTTATGAAATTATCCTAAATAAAGAGCGTTTAGCGTCTCATAATATTAGCTTAAGCAATTATCATAAATAATGATGCTTGATACTGCTGTACTGATTGTATGGGGGTGATGACAAGAAACTATTAATCTAAATTCCATGGCGTTACTGTAAAGAAAGCTATCAACACTGTTTTAGAGAGGAAAATTATCACCATATATTTTAAAGAATCTGGTTGGTTCTGTAAAGTAAAGGCCTGTTCCAAATAACAGAGCTGCGATCCTAAAGTTAATGTAGGTTGCTATCGAGTGTCACTTTCTTACTTGGTGTATTTTGTTCGTGTGCAAAAACTTCTGATCAAAAACCCCTTAGGTGTGAAAAAAAGGTGCGGCCAAAAAAGGATTCAAAGTTCGACTTCAAATAATGAAATAAAACTTGGCGGCCAAACTGGTAGCTACAATTATAGCATTGATAAGAATTTTACAGCAAATACTTATTCATTAGTTAGCCAGGCTCTGTTTTTTGTTCAATTTGGGGCATGGTGGGTAAAACAAAATACTCGGCCTAACTAAGTAATGAATGAATATTTGCTGTAAAATTCTTATCAGTGCTATAAATCTAGCTACCAGTTCGGCTGCCAATTTTTATTTCATTATTTTAGGTCGCACACTCAATCCTTTTCTGGGCGCACCTTTTTTTCACAACTAAGGTGTTTTTGATTAGATAAATATCACTCCATCTAATTGAAATAATTTTTGTAGTAACCGTCGTAAGAGTAAAATTAGTTTATCATTTTTAATTAATATCAGTTGATCTTGTACCGAAAGCTAGATACTAATTTACTATTTTCCATTATAAACTATATAGTAACATAACAAAACAACGTATTCGATTGTTTGGTTGTTGTTAAGCACAAAGCTATCTGTGCGCTGCTCATTACGGGCATCGAAACCCGATTTTTAGTTAGTCTATTCCACAATAAATAAATAAATTAAACAAATCTCAACTATTGTGTAAGAGTTAATATATCTAATTAATAACACTGTTATCAGACCAAGTGTGAATGTAACTATTTAGTATTTTCAGGAATTTTGATGTGTCCAATGAATGTAATTGTTATAAGAAAAATACTTCAGAAATTTCTAGAGTAATTTAACTCTAACTATCGTAACTAACTGAATGAATGCATACGTTGCTAAGTTATTTATAAAGTTTATTAGCAATTCTTTTATTCACAGGCATTAACTGGAACACGAGATGAGAACGTGGATTATCCTGGGTAAGTTAAAACACTACTATCTTTCAGTATACTATTTGATCTACTGCTTCAGTTATGAGCTGCAGTTAATCTTCTAGATTGTTACAGTGCCTTGCAAAAGTATTCACCCTCTACCATTAATGTCATCTTTTGATGGAATACAAGTAATGTAAACAATTGTTTATTAAACTTGTTTTTATTCAAAACTCTAATGATCAAACTCAACAGTATTATGTATGAAGGAAGTTGAATGTCAGCAAAAACCTACAAAGAAAATATATGAATTGAAATTTGCTGATTGCATATGCATTCAGCCTCCTAACTCAGTACTTGGTGGAAGCACCTTTTGCAACGATTATTATTGTGAGTTTTTTTGGATAGGTTTCTTCCAGCTTTGCACAATGGAATGGTGTAATTTTTGCACATTATTCTTGGCAAAATTGCTCCAGTTCTGACAAGTTCGTTGGGGATCGTTGATGGATTGATTCTTCAAGTCTCGCCATAAGTTCTCCACTGAATTCAAGTTAGGACTTTGACTGGGCCACTCCAGGACATTCGCTTTCTTCTTTTGAAACCACTCCACTGTGGCTTTGGCCTTGTGCTTCAGGTCATTGTCAATTTTCTTCTTTTGAAACCACTCCAGTGTGGCTTTGGTCTTTTACTTCAGGTCATTGTCCTGCTGAAATGTGAATTTTCGACCCAGTTTTAGATTTTTTGGCTGACTTAAGCAGGTTTTCCTCTAGGATTCGCCTGTACTTTACACCATCCATCTTCTCCTCAATCCTGACAAGCTTCCCAGTCCCTGCTTATGAGAAGCATCCTCATAACATGATGCTGCCACCACCATGCTTGACCGTTGTGATGGTGTTGACTGGGTGACGTGCTGTGTTGGGCTTGCGCTAGAAGTAGCGTTTTGAATTTAGACCAAAAAACTCAATTTTTGTCTCGTTTGACCACAAAACCGTCTACCATATGTCTGCATTATAAATGTTTTGTCGCAAACTCCATGCGAGATTTAAGATGATTCTTATTTCAGTAATAGCTTCTTTTTTGCTACTCGCCTATACAGGTTTAGGTTTGTATAGGGACTGGGATATTGTCGATGTATGAACACTGATGTCCATCTCAGACATGGAACTCAACTTTGCAAATCTTTCAAAATCACTGTTGGCTTCATAGTGGCATCCCTAACAAGTTTCCTGCTTACCCGGCTGCTTAGTTTGGAAGGGCGCCTGATCTGTACTGTGACTGGGTGGTATGAAGCACATTCCACTTCTTAATGATGTACTTTACCGTACTTAAAGGAATATTCAGCGACTTTGAAATCTTCTTGTAACATTATCCTAATCTGTGCTTCTCTACCATTTATCCCTAACTTGTTTGGAAAGCTTCTTGGTATTCCTGGTTGGTTTGTAGTATCACTATGTGAGTTGTGGCTTGAATAGATGCATTTACTCTGAAGTCAAGTTAAACCACTTTGATTGCATACAGATACAGACCATTACACTAACTATTTGACCTTTCTTTTGCACCTGAACCGATTTAGGGATTGAATACTTATGCTATTGAGAATATTCTTTTTTTTTTTGAAAATCTAACTTACTTACATAATATCAGCGTTTTTTAGTTTTCTCAGTTTTGAGTAGATTGTGAAAGTTCTAAATATAAAGTCCCATTTTTCAAGCCACTTTGAAGACCTGGTTGCCAGAAAGAAAGAAAGGAACTATTAACTATATAAGAATAATAACAAATTACCAGTTTTCTATGGAAATTCTGAGCTATATTATCCCTACATAACATGTCAAATGTTATAATTAGAGGGCGCTTCTAGATATTAATCCAATACATCATTAGTGATGTATTATGCTCATCGCTCACTTCTCCGTGTTATTCCAATAAACCATCAAAGGTTAATGATTTTTTAAGTTACCCGATAAATTACTACTCTGTTTTTAACGCTACACTGTATATATCTTATCATATTTTGTTATTACAGTATCTTCCGAGTGCTAATGAAAATGACAAGAGTAACACTGTTGTTTCTCTAAAATGTTAAAATTACCAAATAGCTGGTGAGAAACAAACAAATTAGAGTAGGTTAGGTTTCAAAACGAGTTAAATGTTATGATATCTCACTTTATTACTGATGTTTATTTTATCAATTAATTTATTGGTCTTTTCTTCTAGCCCTCTAGTGGGTCAGTGGTAAGTTTTAAGGCTTGATATTAGTTTTAGGCACAGCACAGATTGTCTGTTGTGTAGTTTTGTGCTTAACTACAAACAAAACTTTTCTTCTAAGTTTATATTTATCCACAAAATTAGTAACAAAGTGTGAGAACAATGTTTTCCGTACTTTTAACAAATAACAAGAAACGTGTTCCATTCCATATACAAATATATGTTTTAAATAAAATACAACTTTTGTATAAATATCGTACAAGCAGAGTATAGATTCAAAGGCATCTAAACGATAAACTAATGTATATGATAGTGGTAATATTCACACCAAAAGTTTTTTAAAGCGAAAAAACATTTGGATGAAACTTGATTTGTCATTTTGTTCAAAAGAAAACCATTTTTTTTATATAAACTAGCAACATTTGAATTAGGTATTAGTAATTACATAAGAGTGAGACAGTAGTAATTATATCTTAATGAGGTAGTATAATTACAATTCAATAAAATAACTATAAATACATCGCAGTGAGGTAGTAATAATTTAAGTTCAGTGTAATGGTAATAACTGCAGTTAAATGAGATAGTAAAAATTACAAATCAGTGAGGTAATAATAATTACAACTGACTAAGATGGTAATAATTGTATCTGAGCGATAAAGTAATAATTACATTTTAATGAGATTTTAATAATTACATCTTAATGAGGAAGTAATAATTATTTTGTTTTACAGTAGCGTGCAGTATAGCCGCTGTAACCGCCTTACATCGGGTAAGTTTTTTTTTTATTTACTGTAATGTGATTGATCAGTTTGATAATAATTTAGTACATTAAAAAATTGCTTAGAAATTGAAATGTTTCACGCTTTTATACAATGTTAACATTTTGTTAACACTCAATTATGTACGTTTAAGACTTTCACATGCAATTGGAAACTCATGTATGTTTCGTATGTTTATATTGATTACAGCAGAACCCATATTGTTATTGATTTTCCATAGCTATCAGTTTAGTGTCAATCTGTTTGCAGCATCATTAACTACTTGTTGAGTTGTTATTTTCACCACTAGCTTCTAGCCAAAGCGTTAAAATCATCAATAGTTCCTTGGGGGGGGGGGGATTTCTATGATTCCTATCTCCTTAATGACCTGTTGGTATCACAATTAGCTTGATATTATCTCCTAAAATATTTTATACACCTTTTACTCATGATATTTTATACTAAGAATAACAGCATTGTTATATTTATCTGGGTTTAATAAGGACTAGAGTTTTGTTTCTTTTTAATTCTTGATTCATTAGATTCATCCAATTTTCCACAAGCCCCTTGTTGGTTTGTTTGCAATACTAGAACACCTAGCCCCTTAATGACCACTTATTGCATTACTAGCTTCCTTCTATTTTTGTTTACTAGTTTATTGTTTATCTCTTTATATTACTACTAGCCCCTTTGTGGCGTATTTCTAGCCCCTTCTTAATAGCCTATTCCTAGTTCCTTGGTAGTCTATTTATAGCACTACGAGCTTCTTCTTTATCTGCTTGTAGTACCACTAGCTCCTTGTCAGCTTTGTAGTGATCTCTTTGTAGTGTGATATGGAGGCATATTATATGTTTTCTACCTGCTTATATTAACCTAGGAATTTTTACAAAAATTGTTTAGCCTAATTCTATGAAATTTTGGCATAAGCACATAGTCAATAAAACCACTGATGCTGCCTTGTTCTAATTGCTTTTGTGTCTTTGTTCTCTATTGAAAATTAATATCTACTTTACCCAAGGGGATATTGCAGTACATCTGTTTTGAAAGGATCAATGACTGCAACATGCTTTGCTGGCTGAGTAGATGATATCTATATGTCATAGCCGATGAATTCTGTGGGATAATGAGCAGTCATGTGATAATGCTATCACAACACAAGAAAACCAAGGTTTCCTGTATCAGCGTGGATCCTTAGTTCTATACATTTTTACTTGGTTATCATCATGCTGTTCTAATGGAAAGAGATCTATAGGTTCAAACACTGATCTAAGAGAGGTATGTAAATATTTATCACCACAATTACGTACACTGTTTTTGGTGTGCAAAGATTGTTTTTACTTTTCATGAAACATGTCCAGTCAATATATTTCACACACAGCTTAACACTCAGCTTTCAAATTCAGGTTACTCGAAAATGTATTCTTTGATCTTTCTGTTATTTAGCAGACCTGTCTAATAAATTCAAATAAATCAGTTACATTGAGAAAACCACAAGTAACTAGGAAAAGAAATTTTTATGCCATGGCCACAGGATTTATTGCAGGATAAACAAAAACTATTATAGATGCTGTAGCAAATGCTCCAGAAAAATGACAGAGTCCACGTTGGGCCTGACTACCATCTTGGGGAAGCATAACAAACAGCTTGTACCAAAGAGTTTAATGGCCAGCCCAGCTCTGTTATGCCTGGGTAGAGCTTGGCATCTACCTGTGAGAATACAAATGAAAGAGGGTGAATTGCTGGTTGAAACAGAAACTGTAAGAATACTAGTGGATTTAGTGATCTCTTAAGTCTCTTAAGTGAGAGCATCACGCTGAGAAGTGAACACTAACTTCATTCTGGCAAATGGCAATAGACTAGACATTAGAGGAGAGGTATAGTTCTGGCTCTGTCTAGGAATTGTTGCTCACAGAATGAAGAAATTCTACAACCCTTAGGATAAATGTATTGCAAAAGTTATTAATCAGTTTTACTTGGGCAAAATGTGAGCTGATGTTCCATGGGAAGGTTACGTGGTGTCAGCCAGATTAAACCAAGGACAGTGAACTGCACGAATGTATATAGCTTATGGAATAACAGTTCCCCTGTATATACAAGTGGTTTCCATGGTTTACTCTGGACAAACTATAGTGCGACAGTACCATATACAGATGTCACAAATGAAATAAACTGTTTCCTTTCCAGAAAGCATACAGCATTAGCTTAGACAGTTGCCTGTCTGGCAAGGAATGAGTTCCCAGTGTTCTTTTGTACAATGAAAAGGTTACGAGTATGGAGTTAAATGGAAATAACAAACTAGAGATAATGCTATGGTTTTGTCCATTGCACCACAGATGAAAGCAAATTCATGGCCATCAACACATCTGAAGTCATTGACTGAGGATTATGTAAGCAATCTGAATCCTCACAGTGAAAGCAACTCCATATTTTATTGTTTGAATATTTACGTGTATTTGTGGGACCAGATGACTGATTAGATCAACAACAATGACTCCACATTGCATAAATACAGACAATGCACATCTGATAAAGTAACCACTGCACAAAGTTCCCTGGAGCACTAGAGACCTTTTCAGTGCTGAAATATAGTGAATATTAAAGGATGGAATCATACAACTTCAGAGAGTGTTTGGTCATTTCCAGTAGTGACTCTCAGGAAAACATTTAGGTAGATTAAAGTTATGTGTCAATCTTAGATGGGTGAATGCAAAAACGTATTGATGAGTTTCTTTTACCACAAACGGTTGAATATCTGGATGCATTAAAAGGTTCCTGTTTGCTTAACACCCTAGATGTGGCATCTGATTACTGGCTAGTCAGGCTGGATGAGGAGAGCGGGCTATGACTGCTTTTAGCACGAGAGATGGCTTGTATGAATTCTGTTATGCTGTTTGTTCTGTGTAATATGCTTAGCCACTTATCAGAGTCTAATGGAGCTTACATTGAAGGAACTGCAATGGAGAGACGTTTTGTCTAAACTATCAATATTTTGGTGTTTGGTTGCATTTTCGAGTTCGTGGCTAAAACTTTGAAAATGGTATTCCCACAGATCAGTAAAGCAGCTTGGAAAGGATTTCCTCACGTAGGGAGAGTTGTAGTTTCTGTGGAACCAGCTAAGATAGCTGTGGTGAGAGATTAGTCTCCATCTGTGACCAAATGAAAAGTACATAGTTCCCTGGGTTTAGAATCATATTGCTGACAATCTGTGGCTTACTTCTTCAAGATAGCAGTACCATTGTTTGCTCTTATGAAAGTAGACATACTTTGGATGGAGCATGGAATGTGACCAAGCATTCTGATCCCTAAATTTTGCTTTAGTGGATGCTTCAGTGCCAGTCCTTCCATGACAAGAGAGCAAGTTCCTGTTAGACACTGACATCGATGAGAATGGAATCAGAGAAGTGTTATCAGATTTGCAGGATGATGTAGAAAATGTAATCATGTGTTCTAGTTGTACAATCATGGCCACCAAATCCAGTTACTGTAAAATGAAAAAGAACTGCGTACATTCGAATTCTTTGTGAAACACTTGTTACCACTATTTGTATGGTAGAACGTTCGGTGTCCAGGTGGATCATGCTTCACTGAAGTGACTTACAAACTTTAAAAATGAGGAGGGGATGATAGCACTTTAGATCACAACATTTCAGGAATACGACTTTGTCATAATTCATCATCAGTGCTAACAACACGGAAACAGGTGGAGTTTCTCACCACACAGTGAGACCCTATCTATTGTGGGATTTCTGACTCTGGATACCAAGTGTAAGCTGAAACCATAACTATTTCTACCAAAGCAAAGTCAGACTATGAAGTAGGAGATTTCCCATAAAGAACAACTGAAGGACTCCAACCTAGCATGGATGCTACTTACTGTGTAGGAAGGTGAAGCCTGATTTGTAATAATAGAATACCATAGCACATATACATATAATTTGTGGCACATGTAATAGTCGCCAGAGCTGTACAACACAAAATTCTCCAACTTTTGCATAACTAAAATACTACAGGGTACCAGAGTATTATTTGCACTTGTGCTAACATTCAATGGTAGTTTGTCTGGCCACATTTGAGTACAGGTTTACAGAAATAGTGTAAATACCATGTTGTGTGTGGCACCCATAAGGTGGTTCTTCCCCACAAGAAGATGTCCTACAATTTCCTCGGGAATGTGTTGAGTGGTTGAGGTATGTGATAGTTAACAAACACAAGTTCACCTGACAACAGCTAGGGAATGCTGTTTGATCACAGAAGAAGTGTTATTATCAGATGGTAAAAGAACAGGTCTTCGTATGTGAAGACCTGTATGTGGTTGTGGTACATGTCAGCACCACAGAAGCAGTTTGGGCCTAACTGAACTGGCCTGTACCTGATACCCTGACAAGTTGGTCTATTAATGTATGGGTTGCAGGAGATGAAACACACACGAAAGCACATAGAGCATTTTGATAAGCCATGTCCATATGTTTCAGACGAGTCTTTGGTGCACTGGCTTCATCAGGATGCTGATGATGAAACTGATAGTCAAAGGCGTATGATAACAACATTTCGAGTAATTCTAACTCACCCAGTGAAAGAGAGGAGATGAAAAATATTTTCTTATGGTCCATGATGAATCAGATGATATGTTGCTAGATTTAGAAGCAACAGACAATAGGCTAAGATACAAATGTCGAGCTCCTGATCAATATGGGTGAGACTGACTGATTACCACTGGCTAGGTCATTTACTAACTAGCAAGATCATAACCTCAAAGGAAGCGGGATTCCTTGCTTCACAAGCTATCAGGGAAGTACACTGTATAGCGTTTGTTTGTTTGAAGTTAAGCACAAAGCTACACAATGGGTTATCTGTGCTCTGCCCACCACGGGTATCCGCCGGTATTTCGCCGTGTCACTGTGGGGAACTATATAGTGTATGCACTACAATGTATGATTTCCACATGATTATTCTGAAACCAATAATGGAAAAGGCTTTGTGACACCTTACTTTCCAAAATATCAAGTGTATGTACACCAAGGTATAATTATCACTCAATCATTCATATGCATCTACGAACATTACATGAAGTCACCAAGAAATGTATATCATTAATGAATCAATTTCACAAAGATCATTGCATGAAGTCATCAAGAAATGTATATCATTAATGAATCAATTTCACAAAGATCATTGCATGAAGTCATCAAGAAATGTATATCATTAATGAATCAATTTCACAAAGATCATTGCATGAAGTCATCAAGAAATGTATATCATTAATGAATCAATTTCACAAAGATCATAACAATAAAAATCTGCACGGGCATGGAGACAAGGTATTCGATCTTGAGGTTAAGAACTAATTATTATGAGGTCAACTGTGATAAGTGACCTAAAAAGTATTGTTGGAAAAATATATTGTACGTGATATTTTCATAAATACTGATAAGAGAATGTTCCAATTTTGACATTGCAATATTCGTCAGATTGTGAACTTTCATGTCAGAGATAAAAATAACCACGAGATTCATACTTTGGCTAAAAAACAAATAAAAAGAGAAAACCTCAATTTTTATCTGGGATTTCTCATAAAGAGCCGCCCAAAAATATTTTGATAAGGTCGAGTTGAAATATTCATGAATAAATGAAGTTATCAGTAGTATATGAAATTCACAAACATCATGTTGGATACTGTAACAAATTACAGTTACCATTATCAGGGATAGTATACAGTATTAGCTGAATGATGCTAATCTAACAATGTAGATACTAGTGATGATGGTAACTACGTTAATGAAACTAATCGGCTGTAACTAATAGCAAAAATTTTACCTTTCATTGTGCCAAAAAATATTTGGTTTCGGTTTGGTGTTTTTTACTATTAATATGTACACACACAGCTTTTGTTTTGTTGTTGTTGTATTGTTAATAACGATTGTTTTAACTTTTTTCACTTGTCCAGTTTGTATATTTCTCACGCAATTTAATACTCAGTCGAATTTTCAAATTCATATTACTCTAAAATCCCCTGTTCTATCCTGTTGTTACAAAGTGGTCATATCTAATATTTACGAGAAAAATCAATTCACCTGAGAATACCACGGTAGCACCATTTGCACTTATTGACTTCTTCGTAGTATCACTAGGCCTTTCTTGATTTGTTTGTAGCATCACTAGCCAGCCCTTCGTTGGCCTATCTGAAGCACTACTGGATTCTACTTCATCTGTTTATAACACCAGAGCTCATTGTTGGCTTGTTCCTCGACTTGCTCTTTCTTGATAACTTTCTAGTACCACTAATCCCTTGTTGGCTTGGTTTTAGTACCACTAGTTTATTGTTGAACAATTTTCTTTGAGCATTTTCAGATTCTTGTCGAGTTTTTGTAGAATTCTTAACATAAATAAATATATTCAATGTAGAAAATAGTTCTGCACCATTTTTATTTCAACCGTAAGTTATTGAATGTTAACCTTTTCTGTATATTTCACGCATATACATATCTAATATATTTAAAATTGCTTAGGTATTTTTTATAAATATTTTTTTCCCTTTGCAGTACAAGCGAAGAGCATACGAGCTTCCAGATGGAGCTGAGTTACTTGTTGGAAATATTCGAACTACGTTTTCGTGCCCTGGGGATGGCTATTATGCTGACGTGGACAACGACTGTAAGATATTCCACGTTTGTCATACGGTCACTCATGCTAATGGTCCATCGGAGGTTCAACAGTGGAGTTTCCTGTGTGGAAACCTTACGTTTTTTAACCAGTTGACCCTAACCTGCGGTTTTGCAGATGAAGTGGTACCGTGTGTTAACTCTACATACTTTTTTTATGTTAATGATAACATCGGCCTTAAAGACACTCTCTTCCTGACAGAGCAGGACATAGAAAAGGCTGTTCCGCTGAAGGCTCGTATTCTTCCTCCAGATTTACGTATTCTTGCGAGCCAAACAGTTTTAAAAAAAGCACAGAAGGCCGTGTAAACACCTAAGGATGTTACGCAAGAAAGTTAGATTGAAGAACAGGCACGGAACATCAAATGATATTATATACAACATATTTTTTTCTCTGGTTTGGGTTTGAAAATTTGTTAATATGAAGAAACTGGTTTTAATATTGCAATTAGTATTGGTGGATCCCGTTGACTTTGTTTATCATACACGACACAACTGGCCACATGCTTGTGTATAAATTATGAATAAATCTACAATATTCAGAATGGTTAACTGAGGAAAGAATGTTCTTTGCAGTTGTTAAAACAGCTCTATAAACACATTAATACACGGAGGTGTTAGTATATAACAAAACTGAAACCAATAAAATCAAAAGAACATTAGAAGGAAGAACTATACCATACAATATAAAACAATAATTTGAGTACACTTAGAGTTCAAGCAATAATTTAAAATATGATTTACAGTTTAATAAAATGCTAGATTTATTGAATTTAATGGTTATTTGGTTATTGTTAAGCACAAATTTACATAATAGGTTATCTGTGTTCTGTCCACCATAGGTTTCGAAACTCAATGTTTAATGTTGCTAGCCTGTTGAATTACCACTGGGGTCACAATTTAATGAAATGCTAGAGTGTAAAATGATTATAATCAACCAGGGTTGAGTATTGAATACAGAGAAGTCACGTGATGATTACGGCTATATTATGTTCCGGTGGAACAGCATGTATCAGAACAACATTTTGATATTGTTTGGCATGTCGTAGGTTGTGTGATGAAACCAGAAATTGACCACATTTGGGCGTGCATATAACAATCCTTCCCAATAAAAAATATTCATGCACTCAGAAAATAAAATATGTTCAGATCAGGAATTTATCATTTTCAATACTTGATTACTAATGCCAACATCGGTCAAACCAGCAAACTTTTCTTTACTAGAATAATGCATGATAAAAATACCCTTAAGAAATTAAACTTAAATTTGTTTGTTTGTTTTTAATTATGCACAAAGCTACACAAGAGCTATCTGTGCCCTGCCCACCACGGGTATCGAAACCCGGTTTCTAGCGTTGTAAGTCCGCAGACATACCGCTGTGCCACTGGGGGGCAATTAAACCTAAAACGTATAAAACACTATAATTTTACGAAAGCGTAAAAGTAAAACCTTTACAAATACGTTATTGTTCGGGGGTGGGTGGGTGAAGAGTCTAAAAGATGGGAATACTTGGGGGAAGGAACTTTATCTTTTACCTCATCCATATTGTTTCCATGTGTATCGAATTGTATGTAGAACAAATTATGCTATTTTGCTCAGTTAATGTTTTCCTATTTTGGATCCATCTATTATCTTCATACAACTTCACTCTTCTGTATGTTGTTTATCAGTAGAAAACGTGATCTATTTTAAAAGATGATGTTGTGAAAAGATGGCATTGGCTGTTTTATCAAGAAACTATTGTTTACGTTATCTGTGTTTTGCTATGTTTACAGGTATTTACTCCAAGTATTTTGCGATGCAAATGCACGATTTGCTGATAACTACAAAACGCGTCTACACTTATCTTATGTATACCCTTAGTATCAGCCAAAGAAATCGCAGATTGCTCAGTAAAACCAACCAATCGCAAAGTACATTATAAAATTAAATTAAGACACGTTTGTAGTCATTGCATCAATGATATTTGCCACACTGCTTACTGAGTGGTTTATAAGGCTCAGACAGAAGTAATGCTATACAGTGAGACATCACTTAGTCATTCCAAAGGAAAACAACTGATTCGTGTGCCAATGTGTCTCTGTTCTTGTTATTTCAACACAAAACTACATAACGAGCTGTTTGCGCTCTCTCAATGGTGGTGAGTTAAACTCTCGATATAATTTCTAAATAAAGATTTTTTACAAGGATAATTAACGCATACTTAAACCAATAAGCGAATTTCCATGGATGAGAGTAAAACATTTCTTATATATGTAAAATTTTAAATAACGAAGTTCGAAAAGTAAGTAAAATTCCCATCTTGAAGAAGCTTTTCATTTTCCTTTGCCACCTAGTGGCTCAGCGGAAAGTCTGGAGGCTTATAAGGCTAAAAACCGGGTTTTCATTCCCGTTTTCGGCACAGCACTGATGGACCATTGTGCAGCTTTGAGCTTAACAACTAAATAATAAACAAACAAACATTTTTATTTAGAAAACTGAACTTTCTTTATTTCTAAATACAGGTTTTTGTAATCTTAACCTACACTTAAATCAATAAATAATATCAGAAATGGTGTTAATGTTCTTAATCAATGAAAAATAATTATTGCATCTACATTTTATTTATATATAAAACGTACAGTCATTCTTTCTAACATAATGGAACTTATATTCCACAATAGCAACGGAATGATACATTATTCTAGAGGAACAAAAATGACTTGAACTCCAAAACTTTATTTAACTAACATTAAGCCTTATGTATACTTCTATGTAATAACCGGACATGGCTAAATTATTAACGTGAAGGACTGTAAATATCTGAGTCATGATTGGCGTCCTTTTTCTGCAAAAACACACTCCACACTTCGTAGCCGCATGTGCATTATAAGAGTGACAATCAAATCCCACTATTTGATAACAGAATTCGCGGTGTGTGGATGGCACAGATAGCTCTTTTATAGCTTTGGGAGAATTTCTAAAACAAACATATTTCTGGGAAAAAGAGATTTACAACACCTTATTGTATCTGCGTATTTATGATATAAAACTGTGTTTTAAAGAATATCGTAAAAATAGTCATTTTTGAATTGACGTTTGTTCTAGCTACTAAACCTTGTCAGTGATAGCGATGCTGTGAAACGATTTATAGATTAGAAGGTAGGTGTAAGCCTAAATGTTGGAAAAATAAATGAATTTTCGGGAGTCCAAGTTGATTTAATTTGTAAAATGAGACTATTTGCTGAAGTATTCAATAGATTATGTAGTAATTAATGTTAATTTTAAAGATGCATCATTATAATACATAATAGCGATGATGGAGAGTGTGATCGCTCCAGTAAAATCGTATTTTAAAATCGATGTACTTATGTACTTGTATTAAAAAACCATTTTATGTATGGTTATGCATAAACGTTTTAGAAACAACCTAGACGTTAACCTATGTTTACCAAAGAACATCTGTTCATCGAAATTAAGAGAACATTCAAAAATAAATATAAACAAACAGCAATATCATGTTAATTTAGCAGAAGCTAAAAACCAAATAATGTCAGGTTAAACTGTCACTAACAAATAAATACTGTAATGTACTGTCACCCAATTACACAAGAACGCTAGTAAATATATATATTGTCAGGTTAATCAGCCACCCTATTAGATAAGAAAGTTAGCTAACAAATATTGTAATGTTAAGCTGTCACCCGATTACACAAGAAAGTTAACAAACAAATACTGTAATGTTAAGCCGTCACCCGATTACACAAGAAAGTTAAAAAACAAATACTGTAATGTTAAACTGTCACCCGATTACACAAGAAAGTTAAAAAACAAATACTGCAATGTTAAGCTGTCACCCGATTACACAAGAAAGATAACAAACAAACAAATACTGTAATGTTAAGCTGTCACCCGATTACACAAGAAAGATAACAAACAAACAAATACTATAATGTTAAGCTGTCACCCGATTACACAAGAAAGATAACAAACAAACAAATACTGTAATGTTAAGCTGTCACCCGATTACACAAGAAAGATAACAAACAAACAAACACTGTAATGTTAAACTGTCACCCGATTACACAAGAAAGATAACAAACAAACAAATACTGTAATGTTAAGCTGTCACCCGATTACACAAGAAAGATAA